ACTGAGCTATACCACCCCTAGAAACTCTTATTTTAAAAGGGAAATGATGGATGGAAAATGATGATTCCTAAAGATAGTCTGCTCCAGAAGTGTGAATTTGTTCTTTTATCAAGCATCTTTATTGAACACAGCTATGTACCTAGCCCTGTGTCAATTGCTAGGAATACAGAGATTTTTTATTTATCTTTTTCTTAATTAATAACATTGAACATCTGCCATGCTCAAGAATCTGTGAGTTCACAGTCTATTGCAGCATTTTTAAAGTATGAGTCATGAAATCAATTCAGTATGTTGAAACCAGAATTAGAAAAAAAGAAATAGAGCAGTATAGAATAGTAAATACCAGAGTGCATTGCATGTGATAAAGTTCAATATTGCTTCATGAAATTTTTATTTCAGTGTGACGTGGGCTGTGATAAAAAAATATATTTTTTACTATATAGGTCTGGGTCAGTAAAGTTTGAAAGCCACCAGTGGAAAAGACTATAAGCAAAGAAGTAGATACAAACAGTGTAATAAATATTATGGGGGTCCTACCCCAGGTGAAAAAAGTGAGTTAAGGATTGTTTTCTGGAGGAGGAGATTCTTGAACTGTGGGGGAAAAAAATAGACACATTGTAGTAAATGTGGAGTAAAATATTTCTAGCAAAGGAAATAGCATGAAGGTGTGACTAAAGGAATAAGTATGGTAGTAAGATGTAAGAGGAAGGGGCCAGATCAGCAAGCTTCTGCTCTTCACCATACTGAGGAGCTTGGATTTTATGCTGAAGTCAGTAGAGAGCCACTAAAGGATGGGGAAATGACAAAATTTAATATCTGTTTTAGATCAAACACCTGACAGCACTGTGGAGAATGGATTTGAGCTTAGTGACAGGAGAAAGTGGAGAACTGGAGGCTTAGAGAGCAATTAGGAGGCATAATGAAGGCTATTATAATCAAGAGAAGAGATTTTAAAAAGACTGAAAGGGATGGAAAATACAGGCCTGGGTAGCTATTTGGATGTGAGGAGTAAGGAAG